ATGACATAACACTTACCATCTTAACCATTTTAAATTGTTAAGTATATTCACATCATTGTGCAACTGATTTCCTGAACTTGGACTTATTTTTTAATGTTAGACACATCCACCCTGAATTCCCTGGAGAAATTTCACTTGACCACGATGTATTATCTTTTTAATATATTGTCGGATTTGATGTGCCAAAATATTGTTTAGAATTTTGCAGCTGTGTTTTTGAAAGATGTTGACTTGTACTTTTCCAGTCATGTCATTCTCTGGTGTCAATATCATCGTAGTGCTGGCAGCAAGTAATGGGTTGGGAGGCATTCCCTTCCCTTTTGATTTTCTGGAAAAGTTTGGGTAATTGGTATTGTTTCTCTTCTAAACATTTGGTGGAATTCACTAGGAAAGCCATGTGGTCCACAGTTTTTTTCTTTTTGTGGACAGTTTTTAAACTACTCGTTTGATTTTTCAATAGACATAGAGCTATTTATCTGTTTCTTCTTGACTAAGCTTTGATACTTTGTGTCATTTAAGGAATTGGTCCACTTCATCTGAGTTGTCAAATTTATAGGTCTGAAGTTGTTCATAATATTCTCTTATTGTCACCCTGACTGGTGTAGCTCGGTTGGCTGAGCGTCATCCTGAAAAACGAAAGCTCGCCGGTTGGATTTCCGGTCAGGGCACAAGGCTGGGTTGCAGGTTCGATCCCCGGTTGGGGTGCATGCTAGAGGTAACTGATCGCATCATCTGTCACATCCATGTTTCTCTTCCTCTTTTTCTCCCTCCCTTCCCCTCTCTCTAAGAGTAAATAAATAAAATCTTAAAAATATATCTTTTTATTGTCCTTTAAATATATGGAATATGTGGTGATGTTGCTTCTTTCATTCCTGATTTTATGCCTGCTGTCTTCTTTATTTTTTCCTGATCAAGCTCGCCAACAGAGTGATTAATTTTATTGATCTTCTCAAAGAACAAGCTTTTGGTTTCATTGATTTTTTCTACTGTTTTACTGTTTTCTATTTCATTTATTTCCATACTGAACTTTATTATCTTATTTCTTCTTACTTTATGTTTAACTTGTTCTTATTGTTTTTTCACTGCTGCATCTTCAAGTTAACCTTTTCTTCTGTCATATTTAATCTACCCTGAATCTTATCCAGAGTACTTTTTTCATCTAAGACACTGTAGTTTCATCTCTAGAAGTTCTATTCGAGTCTTTTTGATATTTTTCATGTGTCTACTTAACTTTTTAAATACATAGACTACAGTTATAACAATTATTTTGACATCCTAGTTTGCTAATTTCAATATCGGTTTCAGTTCTTAAACTGTTTTGATAGATTAATTATTTTGTTTATTGGGGGCTGTGTTTTTCTACTTCTTTGCATGCATGGCAATCTTTGATTAGATGCCAGAAATTGTGATTTTTACCTTGTTGAGCGGTGGATCTTTTGTATTCCTATAAATCTTCTTGAGCTTTGTTCTGAGATCTTGTTACTTGAAAACAATTTGATCTTTTTGGGTCTTGTTTTATGATTTGTTTGGCATATCTGCAGCAGTCAAGCGCTAATTATTTCCCACAACTGAACAAAGACTTCTTGAGTACTCTATGTAAGACCCAGGAATTACGGTTCCTTTTGGTCTGGCTGGGGGAAGAGGCAATGTTTTCAGCCCTGGGTGGAGTGTTGGACACTGTTCTCTAATCTTTTCATATTATTTCCCCCTGGACTCCAGTGTTTCCTTATACGAATTCATCAACCAGTACTCTCCTGAGTATCAGAGAGGGACCCTTTGCAGCTCTTGGGATGCTCTTTTTATACAGCTCTTTGTCTTTGTTGCCTGGTCCTGTGAACTCCAGCCCACTTGGTCCGCTCACTCTCAGCTTCATCTCCTTCACTCGGATATTCTTTCCCTGCACCAAAGCCTGGAAACTCTCCCAAGACAGCAAGCTGGAGCAATCGTAAGGCTTACCTCATTTGTTTCTTGTCTCCCAGGGATCATTATCCTTTGTTGTCAAGTATCTTGAAAACTCTTGTTTTTTAATATTTTGTCTGTTTCTTTTTGTTTGTCTATTTTAGACAGGAGGGTAAATTCAAACCCTGTATCTTTATCTTGGACAAAAGTGGAAATCGCCTGGCATCTGCTTCTTACCACAGATTTCTTATATCCAGACTTGACAGGACATCTTACCACTGAAGGAGAGTAGACACTCTAGAGAAGTTTTTCTGGGAGGAAAAATATGCTCTGCTCTGTGCCCGCCTCACCAGCTTCCCATCAGCCCTTGGGAAGCACAGGAAGAAGACCTCCATGTGCCTCAGGGCTCCAGAAAAAACGGCAAGGGAAGGAGAGAGGGGAGCTCTGATGGCTGTGAACCAAACAAGATGATGTCCAAGCGGAGAGGAACTGGGGGCAAGACTGCTTATTGGATAAAGGTAAGCATGGCTTCCCCTATTTGTGCCGTTCTCAATAATAGAAAGGACTGGCAGGAAGATGAACATCTTTCTCTAAAAACATTTAATTCCATGTTCCACATTATCTCATAAGAGAACAACATGTTGGCAGAGGCCACCAGCAACATAAGGAAATGGATTAAGCTGATGGGAGAAGAGAGACCTCTTGCCACCAGTCACAGGCAGCCACTTATTTAATGTAACTTCTGCTCTCCCCCCAGCCTCCCTCTTTTCCCCAACATGAGAGACACTAGACCTAGGAGAGAAAGGAGGGAAGTGAAAGACAAGATCAAACCCCCTTCACACTCTTAGAACCCGAGTTACAAGTCTGGCACACTCTGAAGGGAGAATAATTGGATATGATGTTGAAGATGTGAACTGGACTAGACTGGATTTTGAACAACTGACATTGATAGGACAGCAATGGGATCTGCCCAGGTCAGTTAGCCTGGACAGAGTATGGTTAACTGCAGTGAATGGAGAACATAAAGTGGTCTTTATTTATACCCAATGAATTGAAGTTTCTCAAGCAAATGGTTACATCTGATTTGCTAATAATAGCTACCAAATAATGAGACAGGCAATGTGCTGCATGTAAGTCACCTCATTTGCTCTGATAATTACTATTTTATTTCCTCTATTTGGCAGAGGAGGTAAACTGAGGAACAGTTGAATTTGGACTTTTTAAAAGTAGAATTTTTTAAAAATATTTATTTATTTATTTTTAGAGAGAGGGGAAGACAGGTAGAAAGAGAGGGAGAGAACCATCCATGTGAGAAAGAAATATCAGTTGGTTGCCCCAACTGGGGACTGAACCCACAGTCCAAACATGTGCCCTGACTGGGAATCGAACCAGTGACCTTTTGCTTTGTGGGACAATGCCCAGACCACTGAGCCACACCAGTCAGGGCTGGGGTGTAGAAATTTCATATCTGAAATACTGATTGTAGTAGTTTCATGTGGTTCACTCCAGCCCAGGGAAAACATTTAACTTTATTGCTTGTACTCATGATATTTTCACAAACACTTTGCCTATGTTCAGGGTTTTTTTTTTCCATTTCCCTAGACTATTTCTTGTCAGTCCATCTCCTAATGAGACCAAGACAGCTACGTCGTAGATGAGAAAAAGGGACATTATGGGCAAACTAATTTTAAGCAGCTAAAATGTTAGACTAGGATGAGAGGCATTAAACAGGCGCATGGCCTCAGACAAGTCACTTAACCTCTTTGTGCTTTTGTTCGCGTATATGTGAAGTGGGGATAGTAACTGTCTTTGTCCACTCAGGCTGCCATAACAAAATACCATACACTGTGGAGCTAGCTAACAACAGAAATCAGAGTGCCAGCATAGTTGGGGAAGTATTCTCTTCCAGACCACAGACTTCTTGTTGTATCCTCACATGGTGGGAGGGGTAGGGACCTCTCCAGCCTCTTTTATAGCAGCACTAATCCCATTTGTGAAGGCTCCACTTCCCTTCATGACCTAATCATTTCTCCAAGGCCCCCACCTGCTAATACAATCACCTTTGGGTTTAAGGTTTCAGTGTGTAACTTTGGGAGGGGCACTAACATTTAGACCATAGCAATAATAATACCCATTTCATAGGGCTGTTGTGAAGAACAAGGTGTTAGTATAGACAAAGCCCTTGACCAGGATCCAGCACACTGTCTGCTCTTCCTAAGGGTTAGCCATATTGTCATCTGCCCTTCATTACTGGTGCGTTCCCTTCGACTGCTGAAAGAGAAGGTCTGAATAAATCCAAACTTATGCATTTCTTTTTTCTCTACATCTTCACTGTCTCCTCTCTCATTACCCCATCTTTATCACCACCCCTGAAAACATTACTAAGAAAAACCACTTTTCCCACTCACAAGAGAAAGAAAGGGAACATTTTTTTCTATTCCTGGAGAGAACCCGTATCTGACACTGGGTTTCTGCCCAGATTTTCAATGACACCTCTGCTTACATTGCTGGAGGGTGTCAGGGTGAGTAGTGAAGCCCAGCTCTGTCTGATGGCTGGTTACCCAGATAAGAACCTAGAGTCCTGTTCCACCCTCTGCACAAGCTTCATGGGCACGTGTGGTCCCTGCAGTACCTTCCATGCACACCAGGAGGCAGGTGCTGCATCTGAAACGCAGGTGAGGCCGCAGCATAGCAGGCTCTGCTGGTGGCTCCAGCATAGCCTGGGAGATTTCTAACATCACGGTCCCCAGAGGCCCTGCCCTGAAATCTCAGATACCATGAGTCTGGTGAGGGGCCCAAGCATACACATTTTTTTTTCTGAAAAGGTAAAACATGAATGTATTTTGCAGATTAGATATTGCTACAAAGGAATTACATAAGTTGTCCAAAGTAACACACTACTTAGGGAAAAAATTTAGGTCTTCTGACTGGAGTAATATTCACTGACCGTGGTTGATGCCTGACAGTGTTCCAGGCATTGTGCTAAGCCCTCAACATGCACATTTAACCTCATTTAGTCTTTTATTATTATTTTTATCATTTTATTACTATTCTATTACATTGTCCCAGTTCCTGCCCCCCCACCCAGATCTCCACGGGTAATGATGAGTCAGCTTGCTGCAGGGACCCGCTCTGGGAAGCCGCGCTTCACAGTACTCCAGGGCGTGGCAGCCACGCCCAAGAACGTGTGTGTAACGGTGCAGTACAGCTCACACGCCAGGCTCCTGGAACGCAGAGTGAGAGATTTCACAGCATGTCAGAGTTGAGAGGGACTGTGCTGCTCACTGATGAAGCACTTGAGATGGAGGAGGCTGAGGCGGGGGAGGCCGTGCCCTTGGTCGGAGCCCTGCCCACTATGGCTGCAATGCTATCATTTCCCTACTAGCCCAGACATCTGAGAGCATTTTTTTTAGAAGCTACGGGAAGGACGCTCCCTCCCTGAGCCAGTGCCTTTAGCTGCTCTTGGAACACCTCCAAGCCCCAAACAATTTGAAACTGCGTGGGACCTGTTTTTGCCTGAATCAGGATTCATATCCCGGCACCCTGGCTCCGGAGGCTACATTCCCAATGGCCCTGCAAGGCCTCTCTCTGCCCCGGCCTCCCTCTACTCTGGCTCCTGTCTCCTCAGAGGCCTTGGGCAAATCACAGTTCTCTGGGCCTCAGTTTCCTCCTTTGTGAGACAGGGATAATGATTGTGAGAAAACAGAAGCATCCCTGTGTGTAATGTAACAACCAAATAGAGCTTTTCTCTTCTCTATAGCCTCTCTGACTTTGAACGTGTTTAATTTGGATTCCAGTTTCACAGAGGCTGAGGACCTTGGAAAACTTTTAGGCTACATTCCGAACCTTATAGAAGAGCAAACTGGGCCCCAAAAGCTGAGCTGCCGTGAGAGGGGGATTGGGATCTAGGGGTCCTCAGTCCCAGACCCCAGGTCTTTCCTTTTCTCACAAGTGCCTGGCTCCTGTGGAGCTTCATGTTGTTTTATATATTGCTGACTGACAGCTGGTCCTCTCCCCTCGCCCCTCTTCCTGCTTCCCTTCCATCGACATTTAGCGAGGACCTGTCTGACGTGGGGTCCTGTGTTAGGTTGCTGTTAGGTAATAGGCGCTAGAGAAGTGTTTGAGAGAGGTTTACGTATTTACATCTATTTACATATTGAGCAATAAGCACTTGCTTCTTGCAAAACTCTTTTCAGGAGAGTTTTTGCACACACATAGAGACATAGACACACAAGAGACACACAGAGATACACACGTGCATGCACACACAAGAGCACTCACACAGTCCCCTCCATCCCCTGCCTACCCCACCGCTTGAGGATAATGAGCGCCCAGCAGGAGTGTAGGGGATGTCAGTTCTGCTGCCTGTGCCACAGCGGCAGAAAGTGAGTTTGGTGTGGGGTTGGAACAGCTGAGAAATCAGCCCTTGGCTACTGTTCTGCTTCCTGCCCACCTCTGTGACTGTGCTCTCCCAGCTTAGTCCCTGACTGCCTCTTTTAACCCCTTATGTGCCAGGTTCCTCAGGCTTCTGACTTAAACCCTCTTCTCTTCTCATGCTATTTGGGCTTTACCATCCATTTCCTTGTTTCAGTGATCATCTCTTTCTTCATGGCTTCTAAATCTGCCCCTCCAGAGGGAAGTGTCTTTGAATTTTAAACCTCACATTCTATTGCATCCTGAATATCTCTGATCAGATACCTCAAATACCACTTGTCCCAAGCAACTCATTTCCCTGTCAACAGGCTTCTTCTTCAGTTCAGCTGCTCCATCAGAGACCTGGAAATCACTCTTGATTCTTGCTGTCCCTTGCACTTCACAGCCCCAGTAATTATGACATTCTTTGAATTATAGCATCTTAGAGTTCTAACCATCCTTGTCACAGATTCTTTTCTCTCCAACTCATCTTTTCTGCTACTGTCAAACTTTGCGTGGGATGGAGACTCACCCAGAGTATTTTAACAACTTTGACGTAACTTGTCTTCCAACCTTTGGTCACACTCACCAGTCCGTCCTCCACACTGGGTCCAGAGAACTCTGCTGAAACAAAAAACCAAACCAAACAAACGAAATGACTCCATTACTTACAGCCCTTCAGTGTCTGCCCTCTGCTTGCAGGGGAAGCTTCATGCTCCTGAAGGTCCCCTCTTTAACCCGTGTTAAGAGTTGAGTTGTGTCCCCCAAAAGGCTGTTTTGAGATCCCAACCTCTAGTACCTCAGGATGTGACTTTATTTGAGAATGGGGTTGTTAAAATGTAATTAGATGAGATCTTGCCAGAGGAGGGTGGGCCCTTAATCCAATATGACTGGCGTCCTTATAAAAGGGGGACATTTGGACACAGACACAGAGGAGGGCGGCTCTGTGAGGACGGGGATGGACACTGGCATTATGCTGCCATGAGCCAGCGAATGTGTGAAGCCACTACCAGAAGCTGGAGGAGGCAAAGAAGGATCCTTTCCTAGAGGCTTTGGAGGGAGCATGGCCCTGGCAACACCTTGACTTTGGACTTCTAGCCTCCAGAATTGCGAGACAACAAACTTCTGTCATCTTAGCCACCCAGTTTTTGGTACTTTTTAATGGCAGCTCTAGCAAATTAATACTACATGTCATGATCCAAATGCCAGCAACCAAATACCAACTCTCTTTGCAGCCTCATCGGCAGTCCCGTGCCTGAATCCTGGATTGTTTACAGCTCCCTCAACACACCAGATATGTGCTCCTGCTGGTCCCCCTGCACGCACCCCCATGTCTTCCCCATGGCCCCTCCCCCCTGGTCCTGCAGCACCTTGCAGTGATTCCTGGGGCTCCCACATTAGGTCTTGGACTCATTGAAAGCTGGGACTCTGTTTCTCTCTTTTCTTTCTCCCCAGTGTCTTAGTACTGAATCTGACCGAGTGGAATGCTGTAAGAATTTCTTTGAGTTTGATCACATGTTTTCCCACAGTTTATGATAGTGGTGGGTGGTGGGCTTCAACACACTCCTTCCTCGCTCCTCACTGGGTTGTCACAGAAGAGGGCGCTACCTGATTTCACCCAGCGCTAAGAGCTAATGGACCACAGAGCAGGAATTCTAGGAAACCTCTTCCAAACTGTCAGATGCCTCTCCCCGGCGCTGTTGCCCAGGAGGCTTTCCAGCAGGCCCGAGGGAGGGGGACCCAGAGAAAGGGATTTTGCGTGTTTCTTTGAGGCCAACACCTAATCACTGTCCCTCTTCAAGTGAAAAATGGGGAAAACACTAGCTAACTGTTGTTTAGCGACCCCAGCCCCCACCCCTTTAAAATAAACACTCTTTTCAATTAGGAAGATTTGTCACCGGGGACAGTAATTCCGTGTCCTACCAAAACAAACACAGTTGTAATTAGTTTTATCCAGGAAGAAAATTAACTCTGTTTATCTTAGCATAATTAATCATTGACCCTTTCTGTCTGGGCAGCTTGGGGGAGGCTGTGGGAGTGGGGGGGTTATGATCTACCGCAAAGGGCCATTCCGGGACCCATCTGTCTCTCCTCTTGGTTACACAGCTGTCCGCATGAGTTATTTGAAATAATATTCCCGGCCAAGAGTTATGGAGCTGCCTCAGAACTAGACTTGGAGAAACACTAAATAAGGCTATGGTTTTATGGGTTCACCCTGCCGAAAATTTTAGATGAGGACGTATCAGACGAGCTCTGAAGGCACGCTGTGGATTTGCTCGGCTTCTGTTGTGCCTTTCACCCTGACCTCCACGAGTCCTGGGGACAGGAAAGATGATGCTGGCAGATGACGTCGCTGCCGTGAGGAGGGCGCTGGCTTTGGGGTGAGAGGGATTAGGGTTCTAGTCCTGACTCTGACATCCTCTAGCTGCATGACCTTGGGCAAGTACCTTACTTTTCCAAATCACTATCATCTCCTAAGGACAAAAGAAAGGGCATGGCGATCAGGGTTAACAATAAGCCATACCCTCAGGGATTTTGTAAGCGTTAGAAGTGAGGTATGTCAATTACCTAGCATTGCGCCTGGTACCCAGTAGTTGTTCACTAAGCAGTGGTAGGTTTTGTGTTCCTTGAATGAACTGACTGAGGATCCATGGGTGGAAGAAGACATTGGAAGTCTTCTCTCTTTATTTTAGTAGTTCCTTCAATTCACAGAGACCCGACTGCGTGCCAGGCTCTGCATTAGACCCTGGAAATAGAGGGTTTAATCATGAACCCTGTCCTCATGGTGCTCACAGCTCACGGGAGAAGAGAGAGAGAGATAGACATTCTCAATCTGTTACCTCATATGCTAAGGCAGAGACATGGGAGTGAGATCCCAGGGGTCCAGGTGCAAGCAGAGATAGAAGAGAACCTGATTTTACATGCTGGACCAAACAGTTGATGAATAATACCTCCCTTAGTTCTAACAAGAACTCCAAAAATAAGCATGAGTGGGGGGACCCAGGGACAAGGTAACTGAGGCTTATAGATGTGAAGTCATTAGACCCAAACTGCATACCTAGAAAGTGGTGCCGCTGGGATGTGAACCAGGTTTGTCTGCCGTGGAAGCCTGTGCTTTGTCAGTTTCACCTCAGAGCTCCTGGCTGAGTTTCAATGGCTGGTGTCTTGCCCCAGGACCCCGAGTGAGGGGCACTGAAGCAGTGTGCTCCACAGGGCTGGGGCCTGGAGTCCCCACAGTTAAAATTGCAGCTTCTTAGGCCTTACCTCAGGTCCTTCCAAATCAAGATCTCTTGCAAGGGGGTTATTTTAAACAACTGTCTGGGGTGATTCTTATGCACTCACCATCTGTCAGAGTCATAAAATCTACCTTTTGCTCATGATGTAGAGACAGCTACTCCAAGAGAAGTGCTTGGGGGTGGAGGAGCTTGTCTTCTAGGTAAGGGAACAAGAGAACTGTGAAAACAAGAGCCCCCTGTCCTGAGATGAGAGAGACAGAGAGAGGAGGAGAGGTGGGCCAGGGCCCCTTGAGAGTGGCCTTGTGGGCTCACACTAGGACAGTGTCTCCTGCCGCCACAGCTGGGGCAGAGATGGACGGCACCTGCTTGGAGCACTCGTTCTCTCCCTTTACCCTGGCTTGTAACAGTGGGCTTCCCCAGCTGTCGAGAGATGTACAGGACATTTCTTGAAGCCAGAGAGAGATTTAACCTGGAAGGCAGGGCCTTCTGCCCATGGCCGGTGGGAGCAAGGCAGCTGTTACTGAGGGGCATGTTGCCAGCAGGACGTGGGGCAGGGACAAGTTCATTTCTGGTGCTGCACAGGACTCCTGTGAAGAAAGCAGATTCTAAGGGCACTGCGGCAGGTTTTTCTGGGCTACGGTGGTGTTGGCTCCTCAGGGGATAGGCACCCAGATGGCAAGGCACCCCACACATGCCAGCAAGTCACCCAGGCTGACCAGGCAGGCAGGAATTGTATGCTGTGGCCCACTCTGCCAGGTAAGTTGTGCAAACTTGGAAAACTTCCTTCCCTTCACAGTGCCTCGGTTTCCTCATATGCATGATGAGAATAACAATATCAACCTTGCCAGGCTTTTATGAGGATTAAATGACTACATCATACACATCATCTCATTTCATCTTTATAACAACCTTTGAAATAGGGATATACTTGTTCTCAAATTTACAGTTGAGTGAGAATGGGAGGGAGTTCAAGCAACTTGCCCAAGGTTACATAGGTTTTTTTTTAGTGGCAGAGCCAAGATTTAAACCCAGTTCTGTCTGATTCTAGAACCCTTGCTTTTATGCCTCTTTTTACCTCTTTTCTAGGAATGAATGAATGAATGAATGAATGAATTCCCTGACATATAGTCATACAACCTCCGAAGTTTTTCCAACAACCCTGACTGCCTCCTCTCAAACCTGGGTTAGCTCCTCCTGTGACTGCCTGCTCCACAGAGCGTGGGGACCCGCAGGCTGGCTGACTTACACGGCTTTCATTGCAGGGGAGCTCTAACTACTGACAGCACAAGAGGCTGTGTGGCCCAGGGGCTACAAGCACAGGCTCAGGAGACAGTCAGACCTGGGTGACACAGGAAACCCTCGGACTGAAGGACACACAGTGAGGATGATACTGTCTGAGGATGGGGCTTCCCAGGATCCCAGGTTTTAGGGGAGCACACAGGTAGGCCAAGAAGGAGCTTGGAATCTTCCAAAGAAGCTGCAGCCAAGAGATAAGGGGCCACATTGCTGGAGCCCAAGGTAGAGTCTGAGCTTTGCAGGAAAGGAAGGGAGGAAGATCTCACAGAAATGTTTTTATAATTTAAAACCTTCCCATTAGAACTTTATATGCAGGATTTAATCAGCAGGAAATCTAGACAGGACTCATTTTTCTCATAACTTCTCTAAGTAGCTGCTCCCTGGTGGGTGTCTTCACTCCAGCACTCATTTATTGAGAATATACTGGGTGCCAGGCCTTTGCTGGGGAGACAGGGATGAAATAGAGACAATCCCCGTACCTAAGGAGATTTTCAGTTCGGCAACTAGGTGGTAAGGCTCTGTGAGTGTGTGTGTGTGTGTGTGTGTGTGTGTGTGTGTGTGTGTATTCGGAGGGAAGGAGAAAGAAAGGGAAGGAATGATGTGCCCATACAAGAGGTTTATTCTCATTTGCAGCCTTGGGAGGACCAGTCATTCCACTTACAGGTCAGGAGCCACTCTGCTTGGGCCAGGCTAAGATTGGAGAGACGACTTTTCATTTGGGAACTGGTTTGTATTTGGCCAGAAAAGAAACTAAGAGTTGGAATAGTTCAGTAAGAAGTTATTGAGACCACACTGGCTGGTGTGGCTCAGTTGGAATGTCATCTTGCAAATCGAAAGGTCACGGATTTGATTCCTGGTCAGGGCACATGCTGAGGTTGCGGGTTCTGTTGATCAATGTTTCTCTCCATCTCTCTCTGTCCCTTCCCCTCTCTCTAAAATCAATAAATGTGTCCTTGGATGAGGTTAAAAGACAAAGTTATTGAAACCAAGAGAGCTGATCTCGAGAAGGATGGGGAAGAATGAAGACGGGGGACAGGGAGGAAGGGGCTGGTAGAATTGGTCTGGCTTTATGGTCAAGTCTCCAACGATAAACATTGAGTCTTAAGGAGCTCAGTGTTTTGCTGCATTCACGTGGGAACAGTCTGAGCACTGGGGGCAGGCCCCGGGGGGCAGAAAGCGGCAGGCTGACCCACTGCTCCCGGGCATATGCAGCCTTGGCCAGCAGTGACAGGGGAGAGTCTCCTTGCCCCCAACCCTGGTCAGAACACACTGAGCCAGTCATCTTCAGGTGTGGGAACCACAAATTGGGGAGGTTTTACCAGGATCGGGGGAGGGATTTGTTGGTGAAAGTCTGGAGGAGAGAGGACTCTGGGGGCTGTATCTCTGACTCCAAATCTCTGCTGGGTCTAAGGCAGAAGCATTGGTGGAGGGCCAAGTTTTAGCTTAAAGGGGAGACAGCATCCTATCAGTGGGCTGCCTTGTGGAGCAGTGAGTTCCAAACCTGGGCATGTCTGACAAAGTCTGGAGGCCAAGGACTCCTCCCTAGTGGGGCTGGACAGTCAGGGAGGGGTGGGGAGGGGAAAGCTGTGATACTGCAGATCCCCTGACTAATTATCTGGTGGAAGGAACTGGCCCAAACAGGGCCATTTAAGGCATGGTTCATCTCATAATTGGGGAGTGTAAAATTTACAGTTTAAAATTTATAGGACAGTCCCTTAGGGGAGGCTACAAAGTGAATTCCTACCCACAGTGGAGCTGTGGGCACTCTGTGGCTCAGGCCTTCCCTGCATGCTTTGGCTTTTCGGGAAAAGGGAAAAAGAACAGGATGGTTTCTTAGTCCACTGGGGCTGCTGGAACAAAATAACATCGAGGGGGTAGCATATCAAAACAGACATTTACTTCTCAGAGTTCTAGAAGCTGGAAGTCCGAGACCAAGGCGCCAGCACAATCAGCGTCC